CTCATCCACTAGGGGCTGGTGTCAGAAGCGAGCAAATCCTCGTTGACTCCCATGTTAAAAATACCAATTTCACAGCAGAAATAAACATGTTTACAGCCTGGTACCAAAACATGTTTTTGGTTTAAATGATCTAGTTTACACTCATGACAACTCTGAGGGGGGTGAATTTTTTTCTCACTCTTCTGTTTAAGTGAATTTAAAAGCCTAAAATTCTGTGTAATTAATGAGCATCAGACCCACGTGACCACAGAGCTAGCTCCGTGGAAAGGCCTCAGTAGAGCCTCGGTCTGGCTTGGAAACTGTTCCGGGATTTTGAGTCTCTGTGTTTGTGTATTCTTTTTTGGATATTTTTGTGCAATTGTTGGACAAAATGACTTGCTGTGGTATTAATTGCACTAATAGAGCGTCCAAGGAGTCTCCACTTCATTTTTTTGGTAAGTAAAATTATATTTATGTATTTTAGGTCACTGCTGAGCTGAGCTTAGATTTTAACATGTACTGTTTAACCATGAAATTTAAATGTAATAGGGTAAAACCCAGTGCATTTAACATAATGCTGCACTTTAGAAAATGGGTTGAAATATAACATGTTGGTGGAGCTGGGTTCCGACTATCGGCTTGTGGAGCTCTTGGGAGACCAATGTTTTCCACCCGTTTCTCCCCTCCCCACAGCTCGGCGCATCTCTGTCTGATCGCGGCTTCTGTCTGCTGCGCGGGCTGCCGGCTTGTGGAGCTCTGGGATGGAAACCGATGTTTTCCACCCAGTTCTCCCCAGCGGCAGCTCTGCGCATCTCAGACCGCAGCGGCGCTTGTCTGCTGTGTGGCTGCTGGCTTGTGGAGCTCTTGGAGACCTCTGTGTTCCACCCGGTTTTACCCAGCAGTCAGCCCGGCGTATCTCTGACTCAGAAGCTCTGATGTTGTGCACAGTTAACTCCGGTTGTAGCTAGGTTGCTACCTCTGTTAGCTTAGCTCCCACCTCCGCGTTAGCTTTGGGTTAGCTTCAGGTTAGCTTGTAGCTAGTTCAATCGGGTGTCGTCAGTTGATCCCAGCCTTACAGCCCCACCCTCAGCTCCACCTCTCTTCCCTTTTGTGGAATTGTCTGGGCTTGGCGGAACCTGTGACACGGTCAAAATGGTCACACCTACTATTTGGCCTCAAAAACGTGTTATTGGAGCCTATGGAAACCCATTGTCGATGAGGAAAACACAAAAAAAAAAAGATGTAAAATTACAAAATAAAACCACTCTTATAACCTCCTCTGTGTTGGTCGCATCAAGACGATTTGAAGTGACGGTTGGCAGTTTTTGGAGCTTTCATGGAAATGTGAAGAATTAATATATGACCGGCTGCAGATGGCTCTTTGAACAGCCTAAGGTTGGAGTAATGGATGCTAAACTGAGACAAGACAGAGGCGCTAACAGCTAGTCACAGTTACAACTCAAACCTTCATTCATAAAAGTTTAATGGAAACAAATATAAGCACTGTTCTATAAACTCTCACTGCCGTAAATGTTGCATTATGTGGTTATTTATCCAGAATTCGACGGGTTTTACAAACGTGCTTGCTAGCTAACAAAAACACAGAAAATATTTTAAGCGAATTAAAAATTAATCCTGTTAGCTGATATAACAAAGTATTTTATAAGCTTCATTTGCATAGAGCTAAGTATGTATGCTTGAGACTCTTATTGTGAAGGGCTAAGGAACTTCTGCTGTGAAAGCTGCTACAAAAGAAGCAAAAAGTTAGCGATCCATGGCAATACAATGCCTTATTGTTTCATCTGTAAAAATAAAATAACACAAATAAAAAAAAAACAGTAATAAGGAACAGCCTGAATTCGTTAGCATGGTACGAGTCGTATTTTATACTGCATGAAACATTTTATTTTGTGGAAAAACTTTAAAGTTGTCTTGTCCAAGAGAAACTTGGTGTTTTTTGTTAATTAAATGAACCATTTAATGTGAATTAGGCTATATACAAGTTTTTGAACTAACCCAATTAAAATATTTACAATTAAAGTTGCTTAAATATGGCAGCAGTCCATGTTTGTGAACCAAGTCAAATAACAGGTCAGTCAGGTCAAAACAGCTCTAATTCTCCAAACCGAGGTCATTCACAGAGCTTTCTACAACAGGTAAGATATTAAAGGTTCATAAATGTTCTGTAAAAACAACTTTGTAAAAATCTGTACAAAAAAAAAATACTCAAACACCATAGAAGAAGAAAACTGTAGGTTGTTGTGCTCAGGCAGAGGTCCAGGGTCTGACCCCAGGTCAGCGTTCTTATTCAGGATCACAACTTATCAAAAAAATCTTAAAAATAAAGTTTAGATATTAGAAAATTCTAAAGAACTGAACTAAATTATGTGTTTTGGACACACTAGGATCTGGCTAATCTAGTTAAAAAAAACAAATACAAGATAAACTTTTCATTTTTAATGACTCTACATCCCTTTTGTTGCTGTGCAGGTTCTTTTTTTGTACCCTCCACCATTGTTGGGCGTTTGGCTTTGTTCACCTGATACCAGACGCGTGGCAGCGATCAGAGAAAGACAATACCATCAGCACAGCACCGGGATGCCGGGCGCGTGTGACACCTGATTTACAAGCATCTATTTAAATGAGTTAACCAGCCAACAAAGAGTCCCTCCTCAGACAGGTGGGCGGGGCCTGGTCCTCTCGGGAGTTGGAGGGGTTAACTTTGACATCTGGCCCTCGGTCATTCGGCAAGTTCAGGCCAGCTGCCCAAATAGATCTGCTTTTCTCCCTAAAACACCTTATCCATCTGCTGAATTTCTTGTCATTTGAGTTTCTCCATGATTGCCACGGGGCAATCCCATTTAGCGCCGCGTGCAGGCTGACACCGATCCTCGCCTCGACGCCCATCCATATTTAAAGGGTTGTGCAAGCGACCTGCGGCTCGGCCTCACCGCCGCGCTCGAGCTGTCTCACACCCACAGGATTTTACACAAGACATTTGTCTCATATTTCCTCAAATTACAGCAATAAGATATAATGCACGTGGATCTAATGGGCACGAATCCGGGAGGAACTCGGGTGACGCGTGCCACAGCTGCAGAGACGACGGGACCTGTGAAATTCAATCTGTGGACAAATGTGTGAAGACGACAACGAGGATACCGATCAACTTATAAATACAAAAGGTGACACCTACATAAAGACCCAATTACACGTGTATTCCTATTCAGTATCCGTCAAGGAGACACCGAAGGCCGAGTTAACAAAAGATTGTTAAAAACTCATGACTCCCAGGAGTTCTCTTCTAATTATGAACGTCTCACCTGCACAGGTACACGTCAGGCACATTAAAGGCATCTATTAGTCATTTTATCAGGTATTTATAAAAGTAAAGACCAGGCCAGTAGGTGATATCACCCTTAATAAGCGGAGCCTCTGACAGGAAGTAGTCTTCTGAACTAAACATAACTTGTACCTGGACAGGTTAACAAACCTTCTGTCAGGAATCTTGGCGTGACCTTTGACCCAGCTCTCACCCTGGATTCTCGTGTCAGTTCTCTTGTTGGCTCTTCCTTCTTCCATCTCAGGAACGTTGCTAAGCTGAGTCCCATTCTGTCCCGCTCTGAACTTGAGACAGTTCTCCACACCTTCATCTCCTCACGCTTTGACTACTGTAACTCTCTTTTCACGTGTCTGAGCAGAACCTCCCTGAACCGTCTACAGGTGGTTCAGAACGCCTGTGCTCGGCTTCTGACCAAGTCCTCCAAACACACCCACATCACCCCGCTTCTCCTCCAGCTTCACTGGCTGCCAGTCAACTTCAGGGTTCATTTCAAGATCCTGGTTCTGGTCTATAGGGCCTTACATGGACAAGCACCATCTTACATTGGTGGTCTTCTTAGTACCTACACCCCCAGCAGGTCCCTGAGGTCCAGTGACCAAAGCCTACTGGTTGTGCAGCACCAGGCTAAAGACCAAAGGTGACAGATCATTTGCTGCTGTGGCCCCCAGACTCTGGAGCTCTCTCCCCCTGAGCCTGAGATCAGTGGACTCAGTGGTCTCCTTTAAAAAGCAGCTGAAGACTCACCTGTTCAGACTTTTGTATGACCTTCTTCAACCACTCTCTCTTTATTCTGCTCTCCCCACCTATTCCAACTTCCTCAGGATCCACTGATTTCCCTCTTTCCTATTCACTCTCTCTCTCTTTCTTTACATTTTAATCACAATTGTCTATTTTTTGCTCATTTTAAATATATTTTTAACCATTTTCTAATTTAAAAAAAATATTTTTACATTTTTTGATTTTCAAATTCAATCCCAAAATACTTTATTAATCCCAGAGGGAAATTAGATTTGTGAAGCGTCTCGTGATTTTTATCTTGAGAGGCTCTATAGAAATTATATTTTCTTCTTCAAATTGAGCCGTGTTTCCACTACATGACATCTGCAGAAGACAAGGTGACGGGATGAATGTCTGCCTTTTCAGGACTTTGCTGAGACATCAGAGTGATCGATCATATTTCAAAATTAGCAAATAAAAATAGTTAGTCAGTCAACCTGATCCTAATTTACATTAAAGTCCTGTTTAGTCAAAGCCTTTAGGCTGAAGTGTGACCATATAAAGCAGTGTTCAATGAAGTCCTGAAGCCGTTCTGTAGACCACAAAGGGCCATAAATGAGATTTATGCAGCATTTTTCAGCTTTGGGAGTTTAGAAACAACGATTTTAAAGTTGTATCAACGCAGTAATTTTTTCTTTTGCATCACAAGAACTGTGAAATTTCAGAATGATTGATTTTTGTACACAGTGAAGCGTCCCCTTTACTGAAAATATCAAAACTGTAAGCTGCTGTGAGCACATGACAGGTTAAGGTGTCCCTAACCCAATCAGAAAAGAAAGAAAATCAGGAATGTAGAATATTATATGATCTGATTAACTAGATAGGACGTATTATTGTAATATATAGAACGTTTTGGGGTGATAAAAAGCTTTTTTTGGAAAAAGAAGCACAAGATCTCATCTTATTTTTTCAGTGACTTTATTGAAAAGGGCAACACAATCCTGCCCGTGTCTTTCCAGTTACAGCAGGTGAGACAAGGAATGACAAATCGTGCTTTTCTACTTTACCGCCTCGTCAAGTTGTCAGATGAAAGCATCTAAAGCTCAGAAATAATAATAACAATAATACAATCGTAACCCTGACATGCAGGCATGACGTTTTGCATAATTTGTAATTTCTAAAGAATTAAAAGAATTCTTCTTTGTCAAATTTTTTAACCAAATTATAATCTGCCCAGTTTAACACATTAAATGGTAATTTAAGACAAATAACTATTTCCAATACAAAAAGAGATACAACTTTGGCTAAAAAGTATTTGTGATTTAAAAAAGGAATGACGTGATACAAAACAAACGTCTAGAAATATGTAAACATTTTATTCGACATGTGTACCATAGTATCAAAATGTCATTTTAGGCCCAAACTCGTGCTTCAATGAGGTTAAAACCCAAAACCCAGCTCTGTAAACTCTTAAAAGCTTATTAGTGTTTTCAAAAATCCACCAACTGTTGGATTTGGACATTTTGGCGTCTGGCTGCAGAAACCAGAACATTATTAAAGCAGATTTACCAGAAACGGCGCTTCACGTCATCAAAATAGCGGGAAAACGCTACTTTGTTCTTCTTTTCGTGGTATCCTCTAGTTTTTAGGGAGATGTCTTCCAAAGCTTCCAATTATTTTGGAGCATAAAGAAAAAAGATCAGAAAAAATAAAGGAAAATGAATGAATTGAAGTTGCTTTTCCCGTTTCTGACATCTGACCTTAACCTCAGGGTCCTGATTCAGTCCACCTTAAATGCTTCTACATATTTAGTCTCTAAAGCAGCAGACTGAAGGATTTAAGGAGGAATTTGCTGAGTTCATTCCCAGCGTTACTGCGGGAAGCATCTGATTTGTTTCCATCCATCATCAAGTTTGATGCAGAAGTGCCCTTTCAAAATAAAAGTCAACAAAACCAAAGTGACACATTCTTACAACACATTTGTCACGTTATTAAAACATAATAGTTCTTGTTTAACTGTTAGAGCATGGAAAGTGCAATACTGTTGTAAGAGCACAACGTGATCATTTGATAAGTCTGGGTTTTATTTTGAAAGGGTAGCAGCATTACATTCCAGTGGTTTGACAGAGTTTTGAGACGTACTCAGATATTTCGGGTCAGATGTGAAAAGGGATGTTTCAGCCATTTTTGAAGGTTCACTTTTGGGTAAATGTTATATTTCTAACATGAAGGGAGGGGCAATAAGGCAAAAATGTATCTAATTCATTACATAAAATCACAAATGTATGATTTTTATGCTGATTTTTGTATTTTTTTGAATAATTTAGAAAGTTACTGAACAATCAAACCATGTTTGTGCAGGAAACAATAATTTTCTCTAAAAGAACAAGTTCCAGAAGTCACATTATAGACCCCCCCCCCCCAAATTGCTGGCAGCCTCCTGAACAGCCTCAGTTCATAGAAACAGAGTTTACAGCCTACATAACTGAGGAGATCAAAGCGTAGCTGCCTTCTTTAACTAGCTCCCAATTTTAACAGTAGGTCATGTGACATTATTTTTAACAAAAGACCATATAAAGTTAGTTACACTGAATTTTAAGGGTAATTACAACCATGAATAACAAAACTGTGAAGCTGTAAAAGTAAAAAATGTAGAAGAAATCGTTTTAAGGTGGCGTTGATCGACTTTAACCCCGGCTTAGCTTAGAATAGCCGTTACATAGCCGTTAGCTCATCAGTCCGGTCAGATGTAAACTCTGGAGCTCAGGATCCATCTACAGGCGATGAGATATTCTTACATATAACTTTCATAGAAACACTTTAAAACGGCCAAAGATTCCTTAAAGGTGGTAAAAGTAATGTCCAACTGCAACGATCTTGAGGGTTTTACCTCCACAAACTGACCAGTGTTAACTAACTGTTAACACAGAGTAGTGATAAAAATATCAGAAGACAGGATTTATACTTCAGGATATGAGAGTGAAGCTAGAACAAGAACCTGTTAGCGTCACGTAACTCACTGGTTTTGTCTTCACGAGACTCAACAGAAGCTTGTTCATCATGAAGGATCTGAGTTTAGCTCAGACAGGAAGAAGAAACGAAGCTTATCTGACTAGCAAAAACACTTCAAAGGCAAGTCAGGCTCCGCCAAGAAGAATACATTCATTAGAAAGAGTTTAGTCTCGAGTCCAAAAGAACCAAAACAACAGAAAAAGTCAATAAAAGCAGCAGAAAACCCTAAAAAAAACATCTGTTTCTCTGAGGCAGAGCCACCTTGTTTGTGACGGTGAGGAGAGACGGTGGGAGGCGGTGGGAGCTGTGTAGCATCAACAGTGTCGAGGTCAGTTTGTGAATAAACAGAGAAAATCTGACGTAACTCGATGGAGATAGAAACGGTGGGAAATCACGCTGATGTTTAACACTGACGGCAACAGAAACATTCAACAGTAAACTTAAATCTGCGTCTGAACCCTGACCCGAGTGTGTCGGATCCTGGCAGCTCGTTAGCGTCACGAACGGATCAATCGGCTCTTTTTGAGCTAGTTTAACTCAGTTGTTTTAAGTAAGATAAAATATAAAGGATAAGATGGCGGAACACAGGTTTCTCATCCGTATCTGACCGTATACACGGAAGTCTATGGAAGATCAGGGGTCTGCAACAAGCGGCTCTGGGGTCACCTGTGGGTCTTCAGACTCTCTAAAGTGGTCAAACGTGACTTCATCAATTAAAATAAATATTTATTGTAGCCAGTTTTCACCAGAAATAAATTAAGAAACGTTTTAGCTAATAGATCTTTAGGATCGATCCCGACTTTTTAATGACAAAAAAAAAATAAATGAACATTTGAGCCAAACTGCTGCGACAGCGGGAGGTTTTAGAATTACGACGTCTTTATGCCATGAAAACATAACATAATGGTACCATGCAGCAAACTACGGAAACAACAATAAAAACGTAGATTAAAAGCCTGTTTTTAACTCAGATGATTGGATCCTAAAATCCTGACTTAAGTTGACTGTTAGTAGGAGAGATGGTGACCGTGTCTCCTGCAGTCAGGACGGTTGCAGACCCCCGGCTCAGACTTCACTTAAGCAGAAAATCACGAGCGTCAAAAGAAACGATGGTTCACGTTTTTAAGCGGCTGTTTTCAGGCTGTTGCACCGATTAATACAGCAGAGAGCTGGAACACTGTAGTGTTTTAAAGGTCCTTAAATACTCACATGGATAATAAAACACTTATAAATAATAAAATGTGCGGCGTCATTAAAAGATATGTGCAGCGGAGTGCCACGTGTGCTGCTTGGTACGTCTTCTGTAAAACTGCAGGACTTTGGTTCTTTCGCACCGATCGCATCAACCCAACAGGACGACTTTACCGAACCGTCGTATTGCACTTATATTCAGTAACAGTGATCAACTGAGACCCTGGGTCCAATCCAGTTAGATGAATGTGCATTTGTCAAAATGCACAAGTTGGCAAAAAAGACACTCCAGCCCCGGATGGAATGACGCTTCTCCATTCAGACTCAAGATGGTCCTCCTTAAACGTGTTTGATTGTAACAGAACCCGAAAAACCAGCGATCAGCGTCCGGAGCGTCTGGAAAACACACATCTGGAGGCTTTTGTCCTCTGAAAGCAGCAGGTAATGGTTCTCAGGTGTTTATAATACAGTTCGACTGAATCGTCTTTACTGAAAGTAACCGATGGATCACTCGTAACCTTTTCAAGTACCTAAAAATACTCCACGACTATTAATAAAAGTATTAAATATCAAACAATAAACCTGCAGGTAACCAAGAAGCTCCAGAAAATGTATAAAGCCTAAACCAGCTAAATAAAATGCCTCCGCTTCTGCACCGATCCACGAGTGAAGACTTTACTCCAGTGTTTGCTTGTTTGTTCCTCACAAAGTCTACTTTTTGGAGAGTTTACCCGCCTTCTTTTTTGGCTCATAGGGTGTCCGTAGGATGCTCGGCGTCTCCTCCATCACGCGGACGAGGAGGTTATCGATGTAGTCCTCCAGCTCCCGGATGTGGGCGTCCTTCTTCTTCACTGCTTCTTTCTGCTTGATGAGTTCCCGAACAACTTCCTCAAAGGAGAGGTTGCTGTAGCTAGCCACGCTCTCCTGGGTCACCTGAGGAGGAAAAACAAAAGCTGAATAAAAAGCCAGGGCGGTTTCTCAATCCAGGGAGCTGCATGCTACCAAGTACGCACTTAAGGCCGATTACGTCACAGCGAACCGACAAGGCAGATACTCAAAAAGCGTCCTCGTTTTTCACAAATTTCCAGGATTCACATTCGGCCAAATGGGAGATTTTTGTTCTCGTTATAAGCAGAGACTGAAAAGTTGTCGGTACAAACAAACACGGCAGCAGCATCACAAACGTATGCAAGACCTTTAAACCAGTCACTTTCTAGCTATGGTTGCGTTTGTCTGGCTTTTGCCACTGTTGACCCGTTTACCTTCACCCACCAACAACACTTCAAACGAAAGCCATGAAGAACACGCATGTGTGTAAATAAAAGTAAGTATATTCAGGCCCTAATGCTAGCCCGCCGCTGCTCTGGTTGATGGTGTTCCAGCACGAGTCTGGATCTCGTTCTGCTTTAACTGTGTTTAATGGTCAGTGGTCTGTATTTGCATAGCACGTTCTTTAGGGTTCTACCACCCCCCCCCCCACCCCCAGGCGCTTCGCAACGAAATCAGTCATTCACATATCCGCACCCTGGTGATGATGAGCTACGATGTAGCCACAGCTGCACTGAGGCCTAGTCCACACGTAGCCGGGTTTTTAGAAAAAACGAATATCCGCCCCTCCAAAAACTTGCATCCACACCACCGCGTTTAAAAAAAAACTCTGTCCACACGTACCTGGATAAATACGTTGTTAAGGACATGCCAGACCTGTAGGTGGCAGTACTTCCCCCGTTCTTAACCTCGTCCTTCGTCTGTGGTCTTCCGCAAGGAGCAGTAATTCCGCTTGCAAAAACAAACAAGCAAAAAGCGCTTGGACAACTGATAAAGCGAGCGCAGCTCTGAGGGCATCCATGCTGTCGGCTAGTGTAAACACAGGTCGCACACGTGATGTCAGCATTTTTTGTCGCGGAAAGTGACGTTGCGGAACTTAAAACTCCGGTTTTGTCTGTCCACACGCAGACACCCAAAACGGAGAAAACGCAGATCTTCACTTTGGCCGGAGTTTTTAAAAAGATCAGTTTTCGTATGGATGACGGGCCAAAACGTAGAAAAATATCTACGTTTTGGCAGATCCCCGGCTACGTGTGGACAGGGCCTGAAGAGGCGAGGCTGCCGAGCACAGGCGCCACCGGTCCCTCCGACCCCCACCAGCAGGCGGGGTGGGTAAAGTGTCTTAGCAGAATTCTCTGTCCGCATCCGGGATCGAACCTGCAACCTTCCGATCACTGGACAACCCGCTCTACCTCCTGAGCTACTTCTGGATGTCTGAAGAGGACCTCTACTCCTCAGATAAAAAGATAAAAAGAGGTCTTAAGAAACAAAAACCTTTGACAATCACAACACTTTTGTGACAAAGCTGTAATAAAATCTGTCAGCAGACGCATCCTTCGCCTCATGTGACCCGGTCATTATTAAACCTTTCCATAAATCTGTCGCAGGAACTAAATCAGCCTACTTGGAACGGTGCAGCAGCCCTGGGAGGTTCTGGGTGAGCTCGTGACAGTAAGACTAAGAGTGTTTTTTATGTTTGCTGATTAGTGCGACATCATAACAGACTAATTAGGTGTGTTAGCCTACAGGGTAACAAACTGTCATCCTTTATTCTGCGTTTCTAATAGAGAGTTGCTAAGATGAGGCTGATGCCTGCTCTGGAACATTATAGAACACAGCCGACATCCTGAGGAGGTTTTTCCTTTTGTTTTAAGTGATGAACGGGTTCAAATTAAGTAAAAAAACAAAAACAAAACCCTACTTACAGATTTGAGTAAAATTTCAACAAACCAGATTGTGTGCTGTGAGCGGGGAATCCCAGGCTGCATATTTCTAGAACTACAGGTCAGGTTAATAAAACCAGAGCCCGGTTTTGCTCTTTCAGGCCAATCTATGTGGAGAGAGCGGCGCGGTATGTTTTGTGTGGATCGTATTGCTCAGCTAAAAGAGGACCTGTAATCATTTTTAATGAGGGACCACTTTATCGCTTCTGCGCGGCGCGTCCTCCCCCGAACGGATGGAGCAGCAAAGCCTTCACCCTGTTTAAAATGCCACCGTTATCAGCTTCTACTCCCGTGCACCATTCAGGCTCGACAGCCGCGCCAAGACAATGCCGAGAACCCGAGCAGGACTTGTTACGGGGATCCTATCGGACGTAACAGCATTACTGTGGGTCGGCTGAAACCTACAGGAAGCATTTAGAGAGGGTTACACGGAGCGGGTTTCACAAACACGGCTCGGTAATCTATTCCTAACACACGCACACATGCATGCACGTGCAGCGTTAGAGGCTGCTGACAAAGGCCTGGAAATGACCATGAACTGGCAAAGTAATGATGACTATTTTCCGCGATCAGTAGTGAGGAGGAGATAAGGCGCACACTTGGCATTCTCCAGTTGTGTCATTACAGTTTCTAATGAGCTCAGCTTGGAGAATCTAAAAGCCGAGTCCTTTGAAATCCCCCACTGCCCCCCCCCCCCCCCCCCCCCCCCCCGCGTGTGGTTAATTAGGGCCGAGCAGCAGATGAAATGGGAGCTGCCATTTCTGGAAGGCACTGCGACATGCACGGGGGCACATGTGTGGATACCGACAGCCCTCAACACCCACAAAGAAAGGTGAAGAAAGCCATTATCAGCGTTCTTCCTCATTTAGGCATCACTTTGGCCACCGCTAACCCCCCCACTTCACCACTTTTGCTGTGTAATAGCCAGAATCCCCTTTCCTTTAATTGGACAAACTAAACAAAAGAGAAACTTGAAACTAGTTGAAACACAAAACAAATATTGGAGCGATCGTTCAAGAGAAAAACATTTCCTTCACTTGTCACAACATCAATAATGTAAGTAGAGTTGGTGCCGCACACTAGAGCTGGACATTTAACACCGCACCAAATTATGATGGGATCGGACCCGATGAGCGATGGCTGCAGCTGCTAATTAGCTGAATGACACCTCTGGATTGTCCGAGTCCTCGTGGCGTAAAGCCCCCCCCACCCCCCCCGCTGCTACGTCGAACAAAAGGTAGAGTCCTCCATTAAAACGCATCAGTTGGTCTTTATCTGCGTTTTCATTTCTTTCATTCTTACATTTTTCTTGCCAAAGATGTCCCTCTTCTTCTTCAGGCCAAAGGTGATGTCATCACTTCCCGTCTGCTTTTTCTCACTGGGAAGCGATCGGGAGGAAAATGTTAGTAATCAGAATAAATGTGCAGATTCTCTGATAACTGGAAAAATGAGAAGACGCTGTAAGCATCTTTGAGACTCGTGCACAAATCAAGGCGGTGTGTGACAACCACAGGTGACAGATTAGCGGCTGCAGAGATTAGCGGTTAATTGGGGGAGTTATCTGAGAAGGGATCTCGACCGAAGCTCAGAGAGAGAGAGTTTCGGTTTCAAACCCAAAAACTGACTCTGGGCTCAGAAATGAGACCGACACATTCTGTGGACGAAACGGCCAAGAGGCAAGTGATTCAGGCCGTAACAAACGATGGAGAAGAAGCATCTCCTGACCAGTCCCTTTAATCTACCTTTGTGTCGGCTTTCAGACTCTGAAGACAAAGAAACATCTCCTGAGCGGACGTCCATGTCAGCTCCGTCTTCCTTGTTCCTAAAGCCTGATTTATGCTTCTCCGTCTGCGTCAGTGCGGAAACACGCAACGCCATTATCCGTCCTTGCGTAGGGCACGCAAGTACGTACGGAGTCGAGCCCACTTTTTTAAACATCCGTCGAACGAGGCGGATTACGCAAGCTTGTGATTGGTCAGGACGCCGCTGTTGTCTACAGCGCCGCCATTGCAAGGAGAGCCGAGTTTAACTAGCGGCAGAAACGGAGAAGCTTGAAGAATACCTCGCGAAAAAAACTCTAAAAATATGAACGTTTAATTCTCCCGTGACTGGAGGAGTGAAAAGATGCGCAGCAAGCGTTTTATTTGTGGACGGAAATGACAGGAAACGTGGGTTTAGAGGTGGGGAGCGCATGAAGCGGTGGGAGAATGAGAGACAAATATGTCCGTGTTAAAAGTCTCTTATATACACAAAAAACACAATATAAACACACGATCTTGGACCGATACATGACAGGATACCACAGAACAGCGCTACGCCCTCTGTGGTCCTGCCGGGCAATTGCTTTGCAACACTCTCCAGGAGACGGAGAAGTATGAGAGCAAAACGCTTCCGTCAATCCGTGCGTGTCTGTCCCTTGCGGAGCTGACGGAGAAGCATGGACCAGGCTTTAGAAAACAACCCTCAATCTGCCTGAGTGAACCCCCCCCCCCCCCCCCCCCCCCCGCTCACTTATCAACCAGATGATGCAATCACCACACCCTGCACACGTGAAGCATCTGAGGTGGACCCGTTCCTGAGACGTGCTCTGCTGCTGGGTCTACAGTGGCACGAGGGTGGTGAAGAAGAGCTGGCAGCGGGACTACCTGGGTTTGTAGGTGGAGCTGAATGGGTTGGTTTCGGCTCGGGATTCCCCACCGAAGGGGTTGGGGGAATGCAGGTCTCCAGAACTCCCCGAGCGCGCCCTGTCGCCGCTCTTACGGCCTTCCTTCTTCCCCGTCACACGTTCCAGGAGGCTGACCTTCTCTTTTTTCTCCTTGTGCTCGGCCCGGTCCCACAGCTGCCCCTGCTCCCCCTCAAACGGGTTGCGGTTGCGTGGGAGCGTGGCATACTTCTGTGGCAGGGTGTCACTGATATCAGTGAAAGGGTCACTGTGTGCTTCGCCGTCCTGGTGTCCTGGCACCTCGCTCTGGGAACGCCGGTGAGGGCCGCTCGCACTTCCTGGAGGACAACACTTCATGTAAACTTCATGGAAAACAAAGTTAGAGCAAAAAACGTGTTCTTGTTTTTAGAGTTTTGGATCGGCTCACCAAACCTTAGATTAGATAACATAGTTAATAATTAGTGAGTTTAATGGTACGGAAGAACAATTACATTTTCTTCTGAACAGCAGCAGATCACAGAGAAACCAGTCTGCAGGAATCAGGCCCCAAGCCTTTAAAACAGGTACATTTTACTGGTTAGTGTGGAAAAACAGGCAGTGTCTCCTCTATAAGGCAGCCAGCAGAGCGGCACTTTGTTTTTATTTTTACAAGCATTAATTCACCTTTTTTTACACAAGACCATCATTGGAAATTAATTAAAGAGGTTCTAGAAAAACCTTTTTTTTACTACTGGAAACTGATCTTTGAGCCTCTATAGAGCACATGGAACTTTTTTTTGGGGAGGGGGCTCAAAATGGCCCAGGAGCCCTGATAAAAGACCAACACACAACCAACACATGAATATTAAATTAGCTGTGTGCTCTGATTGGCCGGTTTACCCTATGACGCTGTCTGAAGCTAGGATCTCCGCGTACAGCCATGTTCAGTATCCAGATTACTCGATGGGATTGATCCACCTTATTTTTGAGTAGCCTCGTGGAGAAACGCTGATGTAAGCAGCATCAGAAGTGACGCATTCCCAGCGGTTTGCACTGTGAGGTTTCGTTGCTAGTAGGGCTGCAACAAACGATTATTTGGATAATCGATTAATCGGATGGGGTCATGACACGATTAATCGATTAATCGGATTACATGGGGAAATTTTTAAAAACTGCTAGGGAAACGTTATTTCTCTCCTTCCTTCACTTTATTTAACACATTATTAGAAAACAGTTCAATAGCAGAAAAACAACATGCCATCGCCTAAATTGTCTTATAAGGTGTATAGACAGAGACCCTAAGCTACATCTATCTGTGACCTAAAATGCTTGGTCCAAGTTAAACAGCTTAAGGGCAATTCTCATCCGTTTTGTTTGATCTCATCTGTAGACATTTATTATAATTGGGGATGTCAAATGACTAATTTTTAATTGTAATTAAACATAGGCTGCAAATTAATCAAAATTAATAACTATTTCCAAAACTGACTGAAAAAATACCAAATAAAACAAAAGTAAATGAATGCCATCCTCCTTGCGATGATGCCCTGGGCAACTGCCATAAAGTCACATCAAGAAATGCTGCTGATCATTCCAATGATCCCAAATAGACTCACATTAGGCCACATGAAAGCAACTGAACCCAAAAATATATTAACCAGTATATAACTGCACTCTCACACAACACGCCTGCAGCAACAGTTAGGACTCCTCCCTCCCTTTTAAAAGCATTTTCGCTTTTGAGGACATTGTGGTTGTAAAGCCACATGCTAGTAGTCTGGCCCCGGTGTGATCAACCAGTTTCTGCGGGAATGTGACGGCGGAACCGGTTCGCAGCAGCGCGAGTCTACGGGAAGATTCCTCGATGACGCAATTCGTTGCCAACGCTTTTAGTAATCGGTTTTCATCGAATTTATCGATTTGTTGTTGCAGCCCTAGTTGCTAGTAACAGTTTTTTTTAACATTTGATGAGGATTTAAAAGAATATTTACCCCAAAAAAATGTACTAACAACCAGACGAAACAACATTTGTAGCTGCAAGAGCGATATTTAGCGCATGCACCTACAGAGTGCGAGTGCGTGCGGCTACGAGTGTCGGTACGGTTTTCACCACCTCCCCAGAGATGAGGAACACACTTGAAAACCACCACAAGCTTTATTTGTGCATTCCTGATCCTTCTTTGTTGTTGGATACGATAAACTTCCGAAGAAGCGACGCCGAGCAGTGAAGATATCTAACAGCAGTGCCACAAGAACAACAACAGGATTGATTTCATGTAGGGATGGACAACAGATCGGCATCAATATCGGTATCGGCCGATGTTAGTCATTTTATAAAATATCGGTATCGGTCCGATAAATAAAACCGGGCCAACATTAACAACCAATACTTTTCTACCTTGTCTTCATTTGTTTGCCTGTTTCAGAGGGTGAGGGGGGTGATGTGTATTTGTTTAGTCATGTGACAGCGAATGTAATCATTTCAAAACCGCAAATGTCTGCGTTCATAATGACAAAAATTCTGCTTTAATAATTTCCATTTTATACAAAATCTGCTGATTTTAGACGCATTAATGTCAGCATATCGGTATCGGCCATAACAGTGATCTTAATATCGGATATCGGTATCGGTCCAACATTTTCTAAGTGCATCACTAATTTCATGTGTACAATTTTCTGATTTAAAGTGCGTTTAGACTAAAAGTACCATCCTGCTGTTTGTATTTCACCTGATGTAGAAACTAAAACCCAAAACTTGGTGATGATGGATTTAAGGCTCTGACTTTTAAGTAAATGAGATTGTGTCTCACCTCTTTCAACAAAACACGGCCAACCATATTACTATGTTGGTGCTGATCAGCCTCGGAGCTTTTAGGACTGTTTGTCGCCTCGCTGTTGGATGCGACCGACTTAAGAAAGTAGCTAAATGCTACTGTACGTTAGCTTTGGCCAGACTTTAGGACCTCTCTGCTTCAGTAGGCAGGAGGAGTGTAAACTGAGCTGTGGCATCTGATGCTCATGCATGTTTTCAGTCTCTAAAAGCCCATAAAAGAGGATTTGCACAAAGGGATCACATCGTCTCAATGTAAACAAACGCAGGACCGGAAGTTGCTTGCATCTTTCACGCAAAGCAAGAAAGAAAAAGAAGGATAGATCTAACTGGGATTCAATAGATCTAACTGGGATTCATTCAGAGCCTGGACATTCCCAGTACATCCTGGAGCGTTACAAGTGTGCTCCGATGTTTTGTTTTCTTCTTGTCCAACAAGGACATTAGGAGTAGCTCGGGCTAGCGTTAGCAGTAGCTCATGCTAGCTTAAGCAGTCACTCGTGACAGCGTTCTGAAGTTAGCATAACTGCTACCAACGTTATGTTTACGTTATGACGCTTTTATTCAAAGCAGCGTGCGATTGTTAACCTACAGGATGTGTTGTGATCTGTGCGGGAAACCGGAGTACCCGGAGGAAACCCACGCATGCATGTGGAGAACACGCGACTCCACGCAGAAAGGCCACAGTCGGGTTTCGAACCTGCAACCTTCTTGCTGCGAGGCAACAGTGCTAACAACTGCACCACCATGCAACGTTAAAGAATTGCAGAGGCTGAAGCGGGTTGGGAAATGTTGATTTAAGGGGTGGTTCTCAAAAACGAGTGAATGAGACTTTTAGTGTCGGCGGTGTTAAGAAAGTTAAGTGCCTGCCCCATAACCGGAGGGTTGCAGGTTCGAGCCCTGCTCAGTCAGTGTCAGGCACTGTGTCTAAGGGCAAGGCACTTCAGTGGCATTCAATGACCAGAAGGAGTGCTGTTTTTCACAGTGCTCTCTGCACAGCATTATTTAGTGTCGAGTTTAGAAACGGTGATTTTATGGCAACACAAACTTGTTTTCTCCTTCTATTCACCAACTATTCATCAGCTTCACTAACAACTCTTCCAATTTTTTAAATGCCGCTGTTTTTGTGATGCCTGCCGATGTAACTTCCTACAACCAATCAACATGAGTTAACTCGGTTCATTCCCGAAATGACCCGGAAAATTGTCTTTTTGGCCGGCCTGGTGGAGACGCACATGCCGAGAAGTTCCAGTGAAATGACCCTGAAGTTCTGACAGTGGTGAAGTGGAATACATTAGTTAATTATGACCAGTAAGATGTGATGATTCCATACAAACATGAAATATCAACCTGATCGATCTTTGAATGTTTAATCGGAAGATTCTAGGGTTCTTTGCTTCTTTAGGGACCATAAACACACTTCGTATTAATTCAGAGTCAGTATGTAGTTTATAAAATAAATTTAATTCTTTTTCCTAAACTAATGATTTGTGAAATGCCCTAATGTGCCCCAGGGAAGCTGTGGCTATGGCTACAACGAAGACTATCACTACCAGCGTGTAGGTGAATGGGTGAATGTAAAGGGCCTGGGGGGTCGTAATCCTTTGCCATTACTTTAGAACTCACACTTTCCTCTTTTCCAATCGTTTGTTTTTGGATTAAAGTGTAAAAGGTTCAACTAAAAATGTTTTTACAAATACGAAAACGCGTTCCTCACCTTTCTCCTCTATGGAGTTCATGGAGTCCAGTTTGGGTCGGATGTGGGTCCCAATCAGATCAGACATGGAATGGGCTGCTGAGAGTTTATGGACCCCGGCCAGCAGCGGCCGCTTCGCTTTAGCGTCGCTCTTCGGCTGGGGCTCCGGGACAAACGACTGGCCGCTGGACTCTGAGTCGCACGCCACAGAGCAAGGCAAGATGGCGGACGACGCGTCCGTGTGGCCGCTGTCGTGTTTGCGACCTTTCATTTTGTCTTTCAGCTTGGAAAAAGGCGAGCGCGGCTTTTCCTTCATGGAGAGGTCAAACATGCTGGCCGTCATGTTGTTCCTCATGAACTGGATGCTGACTTGGATGCGACCTCGTTCTTTCCTCCTCTTTCCTGGTTTGGACCCCAAGGAATGCCAG